CCAGAGTGGCCACCAGGGAAACCTGGGGAGGGCTAGCCTCCCACTAGTTCGAATTAAGGGGCTACACAGCCCTTAATTCGAACTAGCTAGTTCAAACTAGGCTTAATCCTCGTGGAATGAGGATTACCTAGTTCCAACTAAGCGCTCCGTTAGTTCTAATTAAATTCGAACTAACGGAGCGCTAGTGTAGCGCCTATGAAAGTTAGTTCGAACTAACGTCCGTTAATTCGAACTAACTTTGTAGTGTAGACATACCCAGAGAGATTAACTCATGTGCCCAACAACACATAATATATGTGGTAAAGCAAGGAAATAAACCCAGCTCTCAGGTCATAGTCCAGTTTCTTAACTGCAAGACCATCCTTTCAGGTATTGCAACGTTTGTACATGACATCAGGTTTTGCTACTGGTAGATATGTAGGAAAAAACATTGTTTGGATTGCAGGCAAAAATAAACTGAATACTAGAATGTTTTCTCAGTTCATCAGAGGGTGCCAGGTCCCTACGTTTGCAATTTCCAATAATGAAAACATGAGAAATTTTTTTTCAAAAAGTTCAATGGCATGTGTACATGATTTCCACTTGTGTGTTTCTGAGAGTGGATGTCCAGACTCAGGCTAGCGCTGGGAGAGCTAATACATTAAAATAACAGTGTGGATACTGCAGAACAAACAGCAGCTCAGGATTGCCACCTGAATTCAGACCAAGGAGGCTGGGTGGGCTTGGAAGTTAGCTTGAGCGGCCATGTCCACACTGCTATTTTTTGTATGATAGCTTAACCAAAGCTAGTGCCAGTGTTCCTTTCCATGTTCCACACTCCCAGAAGCAGTGTAATCATACCCAAATTGTACCACAATTCCCATTGAGTCATTTTCTGAGAATGCCACATAATGAGCAACGGTCTAAACGTAAAAATAATTTCAGACTGGAAAAGTTAAATATGTGAGAAAAGAGGAAGAAATCTTTACTAGTTTCCGGTGTGTATTCAAGAATCCCTGCAGGATAAAAATCAGAACAGATTATAAATGTTACAAGAGCACAGATTATCTTGGCAAGGGAACATCCTTTAAAGGGGGACTAAAATAAGAATTAATATTTGACAAAGTGAAATAGCAGTTCGCACATACTATGCCTGTATTGTACATTATAAACCTAAAACTTGTAAAATACAATATACCAATACTAACATTTGACCTTCTGAAAACCTTTTACTGTGGCTAGAGGCAAGGCAGAGAAGTGCTCCAGTTTCATATACTTCCTTTGCATCGTTATTTCTGGATAAAACTTCAAAATTATGTCATCTTAAAAAAGGCAATACTGTAATTTCTACCACTGGTCACTAATGAACTACAAATATGTTGGAAATATCATTCTTGGGGTACATGGCAGTCACTTATTTCCAATATATTCCTCACGTAATTCTTGTGGTCCTGCTGCCTTAATCTTTTCCACTTTTCATTTATTTTAGTCACTCAGCAGTGAAAGCCTAAAATGCTGTAATAATATGGCAATGGCATTTAGAACAAGTAGTGAACATTATCTTTAGAAAAAGGTTTCTTAGTGACCAGAGCTTGCCTTCTGCATAACATAACGTGGCATTAAGAACTACAAATTTAATCATTATCATAAACATTTCTGAAGAGGGAACTCAGTGACAAAGGGAGGAATGAAAAAATCATTAAGGCACATCTGGCGTCTTGTAGTGATGTTCTACACTTAAAGAGGCACCCACGAGTCTTCTTCAAGCTAGGAGTAAGAAAGGCAGGCAGTGGATTCAACTCTCACACTACATCAGACCAATGTAGTCCAATAGTCTGTCTGTCTCAATGGCTAGTACCAAACATTTCAGAAGTTGTAAAATCTCCATATAATGGGAAATTATGGAATAACTCCCCAACACAGGAGAAGCTTCTTCTTTACTTTTTTGCTTAGCAGTTGGGCTTATGCCCTTAGACAAAAAAGCTCATATAGGGCTCAAGGCAATGAAGGAGTTGTCTAATCTCATTTAAATCAGATGGTGGCTCAACTTTGATCAAGATCTGGAAGATGGCTTATTTAAAAGGCAGAGAAATGAAGAGATCTTTGGAAGACCTGGCTGGTACAAGGAGTTCTGTCATGGAAAACACATCAAAGTGAACTAGAAGAAGGAGGAGGAGGAGGACGACGAAGAGGTTATGCAGGTTTAAAAAAACACACAACAACAACAAAAAACCTTCTCCTGCCTTGCTGGAAAAGGCTTCATCATTCTTTGATTAAATCAAACTTAATAGATAGCTGCTCCAGTTGACCGTTTGCCATAACAATGTCTGGCCAACCATATACTTTGCCTCAGTTGTTCCATACAGATTCTTTATAGCATTGCCAAAATTCGGCAGATATTTTTTATAATCTTACAATAACTAAAAAAGCAGACTTTAGAAGTAGAAACATTATTTTATACTTACTTTATTCCAAGAGCAAATCCTTGAATCACTTCACCTGCATTTGGGCCAATGAAATGAAGACCAAGGATCCGCTGCTGTCTCTCTCGCAAACATATCATCTGAATGCAAAACAACACAGAGAGCTTTTATTAGAAAGTCTAAAGATAGGGTAAAATACAGGACTATGTAGCACTTTAAAGACTAGCAAGATGGTTTATTAGGTGATGAGTTTTCGTGGGCCAGACCCACTTCCTTTGATCTGACATATGAAAAGGACAAATCACATTTCAGAACAGAGGGGGGATGTGGGGGGGAGGAAGGAAGGTAAATGCCTGTGAGTTAATGATATTAGATGTGGGGAAGGGGAGATGTCTGTGAGTTAATGGTATTAGAGGTGATAATTGGGGAAGCTATCTTTGTAATGGGTAAGGTAGTTGGGGTCTTTGTTCAGCCCCCTGCGGAGAGTGTCGAATTTTAGCATGAATGCCAGTTCAGAGGATTCCCTTTCAAGTGCAGTTTTGAATGTCTTCTGAAGTAGGATGCATGTGATTAGGTCATTGAGACAGAGTCGTTTCTGGTTGAAATGTCAAGAAACTGTTTTTTCTTTGTGATCCTGTCTAATGTCTGTTTTGTGGGCATTGATTCTTTGGCAAAGTGTCTGAGATGTTTGTCCAATGTACATAGCAGACGGACACTTTCGGCACATGATAGCATAGATTATATTTCTGGATGCGCAGGAATATGTGTTCTTGATCTTATAACTCACTTGGTTAGGCCCAATAATGGTGTCAGCAGAGTGAATATGTGGACAAAGCTGGCAACGGGGTTCGTTGCAAGGGAAAGTACCAGGGTTAACGGTATCCTTTGGTATATACAGTTGTGACTATTTTCTTCCACTATTTGATCTGAAGAAGTGGGTCTGGCCCACGAAAGCTCATCATCTAATAAACCATCTTGTTAGTCTTTAAAGTGCTACATAGTCCTGTATTTTGTTTCAGCTACACCAGACTAAGACGGCTACATTTCTATCACTAAAGATAGGGTATGGAACTGGGCTAAATGGAACTAGTCTCCCTCAAGGCATCAGTTCAGCTGCCTATCTCAATGCAACAAAGCATTTAAGCACATGCTTAATGTGTTTCAGTGGGATTATGAATGGGCTTAAATGATTTGTTGAATTGAGGCTTTAATCTACATTCTCAACACTTTGGCTTCTCTATGGCACTTCCTGCAGTCTTTAGTGAGCCATTTAAACAGTGATTTAAATCATGTATGTGACATGCTATGTGGTTTGTTATTTGGATGATAGTCTATAAAAGTCCTTGGTGGTCGCATACCCATGCTCGCCTAACATCATTTAAACTCGGATTGGACAAGTCAGTACATCTCTGATTGAAATATGGGCTGGACACATGGGAATTCTTAGCAGCTGATTAGCTGAACTTCCAAAGATAGTCACCACTGAGCACAGGTCACCCTGTGTTATAATTTAGTTAAAGAACATTTATGGCAGACCATCTTGCTAGATACATTTAGCATATATACAAAGTGACTTTTTTTTAAGTCAGTCAAACCCAGAAAGGAGCCAAGAGTGTTGAATCTGCTGTGGACAATTATGAGTGTGGAGGCCTGACTCACTGAATGCTCACCTCTGTTTCAAAACAATGTTGGCAAGTGTATTATGCAGGACAACATTTTAGCACTTTCACTCTAAGAACAGTGATAGCTTTCCTACATAGTTGAGCATCTGTATCAGGCACTGAATCTCCACTGGTCCCAAAGGCTCTGCTACATGTGTCAGTCTGGACTGTTAAAAGCTTTAAAAGGACTGTGGATTCATTCGTCACTACTGCATAGCAGCAGTATTCCTGATGAGACATTTCTTAATACTGAAATGATTTAAAAAAACAAAAAGAACCCTGTAGAGGAGTTCAAAATCAGCTGCAAGTTAAATGTATATTCACTTGTTGTGTGAGAGTTTAATGAGCATTATCAGCACAGTGACACTTAGTTATATAACATTGCATATTTGTCCTACAAATAATGGGTTGTAGAGAAATAACGACACTTCAATTCTTATGCTGGGTGGGAAACTGACAGTAGCAACCCAGCTATTTTTGCAGTTGTATTGGCAATCCCCTCAGCTATCATTGTCTGGCATATTCTAGGCATATAGGATATTACGAGCAAAACAAAATATGGAACTATTAGGTCAATACACTCATCCCACTGTAAACACAAAAGTTAGTTGCCTGACATAAAATATTCCAAAAGCTTCAGAAGGGTAGCCAAGTTAGTCTGAAACAGGAAAAACTTTAAAAACAACAAATAGTCTGGTAGCACTTTAAAAACTAACAAAACATGTAGACGGCATCATGAGCTTTCATGGGCACAGCCCACTTCTTCAGATGGCTGGAGTGTTGGATGTCCAGAACCAAAATAAATCTATAAAATATACCAGATGTTTCAGTGATACTATGTTTCATCACAGTTAAGCTTCTCTGTTACAGTCAGGTGTGTCTGCAAAACTTCTTACAATCAGAGTAAATGAACTATTCCAAAAAATGAGATTTGCTTCAGGTCTGAAGCTCTGATCTAAAATAGGGAGACCTTTGTGGCTTTTTTTATGTTTTATTGTCACCCCATTGTCACAAATGGGGTGACAATTCAAAGATATTTAACTAATGAAGAACTGTCTGCCTTGTTTTAAAAAAAGAAGGCGTAATAATATCCTGATCTGAATAAATATTCAAACATTTCCTAAAAACTGAACATGTTATTTGTTGACCACTATCAGCAGAGTTTCAACAGTGAGACCTGCTAACTTGTTAACATTCACCAAGTGCTTTGAAGATGTAATGTGTTCTGTGAGGAATATAAAAAATGTGAGACTACAAACTAGAGGAAAAAAAGGCTGCTAACTGGGAAATGAACCCATCAATTCTGAAAGGTTTTTCTGCAATCTGACAAATGCTTCTTGTTAACTAAAGCAAAATGTAGACCATATCTCATTTTAATAAAAGTTAAAAGTCCTGAACACTTACTTTTATGTAACATTGAGTAGCATCTCTTTCAGCCACTGTAAATTCCAAAGGTTTATAATATGCATGGTATACCTGTTTGGGAAAAATTAATAGTAGGATTCCTTGTTAGAATATTTAATTCTAAAATTACTAGACATTTGACATCACATCATGACTAATATTACTGTACACAATTGGTACTGATAAACTAGTGCTGTATTGGCGTACATGATAGGGGTCTACTACAGGCCACCTACCCAGGCGGAAGAGGTGGACGAGACTTTTTTTAAACAACTACAAGGGGGTGTGGGGGGGGGGGTCTTCAACTATCCAGATATATGTTGGGAAACTAACACAGTGGGGCACAGACTATCCAATAAGTTCTTGGACAGCACTGAAGACAACTTTTTATTTCAGAAGGTTGAAAAAGCTACTGGGGGGAAGCTGTTCTAGACTTGATTTTAACAAATAGGGAGGAACTGGTTGAGAATTTGAAAGTGGAAGGCAGCTTGGGTGAAAGTGATCATGAAGTCATAGACTTCATAGACTTCATGATCCTAAGGAATGGTAGAAGGGAGAACAGCAAATTAGAGACAATGGATTTCAGGAAGGCAGATTTTGGTAAGCTCAGAGAGCTGGCAGGTAAAGTCCCATGGGAAGCAAGACTGAGGGGAAAAACAACTGAAGAGAGTTGTCAGTTTTTCAAAGGGACATTGTTAAGGGCCCAAAAGCAAGCTATTCTGCCGTGTAGGAAAGATAGAAAATATGGCAAAAGACAGCTTTGGATCAACCACGAGATCTGGCATGATATAAAAATAAAAAAGGAGTCTCAAAAAAAATGAAAAGTAGGACAAATTACAAAGGATGAATATAGGCAAACAATACAGGAAAGCAGAGGCAAGATTAGAAGGGCAAAGGCACAAAACAAGCTCAAACTAGCTACAGGCATAAAGGGAAACAAGAAAACATTCTATAAATAAATATATTAGAAGCAAGAGGAAGACCAAGGACAGGGTGAGCCCATTGCTCAGTGAGGAGGGGGAAACAGTAACAGGAAACCTGGAAATGTCAGAGATGCTTAACAACTTCTTTGTTTCAGTCTTCACCAACAAGTCTGATGAAGGAACGCCTGACACAGTGAATGCTAGTGTGAAGGGGGTAGGTTTAGAAGATAAAATAAAAAAAAGAACAAGTTAAAAATCACTTAGAAAAGTTAAATGTCTGTAAGTCACCAGGGCCTGATGAAATACATCCTAGAATACTCAAGGAGCTGATAGAGGAGGTATCTGAGTCTTTAGCTACCATCTTTGGAAAATCATGGAAGACAGGAGAGATTCCAGAAGATTGGAAAAGGGCAAATATAGTGCCTATCTATAAAAAGGGAAATAAAAACAACCCAGGAAACTACAGACCAGTTTAACTTCTGTGCCAGGAAAGATAATGGAGCAAGTAATTAAGGAAATCATCTCCAAACACTTGGAAGATAATAAGGTATTAGGGAACAGCCAGCATGGATTTGTAAAGAACAAGTCATGTCAAACCAATCTGATAGTTTTCTTTGATAGGATAACAAGTCATGTGGATAAGGGAGAAGCGGTGGACGTGATACACCTAGACTTTAGCAAGGCATTTGATATGGTCTCGCATGATATTCTTATCAATAAACTAGGCAAATACAACTTAGATGGGGTTACTATAAGGTGGGTGCATAGCTGGCTGGATAACCTTCCCAGAGAATAGTTATTAACAGTTCACAATCCTGCTGGAAAGAAGTAACGAGTGGGATTGCGCAGGGGTCTGTTTTAGGACTGGTTCTGTTCAATATCTTCATCAACTATTTAGATATTGGCATAGAAAGTACTCTTATTAAGTTTGCAGATGATACCAAGCTTGGAGGGGTTGCAACTGCTTTGGAGGATAGGGATCAAAATGATCTGGACAAATTGCAGAAATGGTCTGAGGTAAACAGGATGAAATTTAATAAGGACAAATGCAAAGTGCTCCACTTAGGAAGGAACAATCAGTTTCACACATAGAGAATGGGAAGCGACTGTCTAGAAAGGAGTACAGGAGAAAGGGATCTAGAGGTTATAATGGACTACAAGCTAAATATGAGTCAACAGTGTGATGCTGTTGCAAAAAAAGCAAACATGATTCTAGGATGCATTTACAGGTGTGTTGTGAGCAAGACACGAGAAATCATTCTTCCACTCTACTCTGAGCTGATTAGTCCTCAGTTGGAGTACTGTGTCCAGTTCAAAAAAGATGTGGAGAAATTGGAGAAGGTTCAGAGAAGAGCAACAAGAATGGTTAAAGGTCTAGAGAACATGATCTATGAAGGAAGACTGAAAGAACTGGGCTTGTTTAGTTTGGAAAAGAGAAGATTAAGAGGGGGACAGGATAGCGGTTTTCAGGTATCTAAAAGAGTGTCACAAGGAGAAGGAAGAAAACTTGTTCTTCTTGGCCTATGAGGATAGAGCAAGAAGCAATGGGCTTAAACTGCAGCAAGGAAGGTTTAGGCTGGACATTAGGAAAAAGTTCCTAACTGTCATGGTGGTTAAACAGTGGAATAAATTGCCTAGGGTGGTTGTGGAATCTCCATCTCTGGAGATATTTAAGAGTAGGTTAGATGTCTATCAGGGATGGTTTAGACAGTATTTGGTCCTGCCATGAGGGCAGGGGACTGGACTCAATGACCTCTCGAGGTCCCTTCCAGTCCTAGTATTCTATGATTCCATGAAAAACCAGGAACCAATGTTTATAACAGCATTAACTAATAAACTAGATTTCTTTTTGAAGCTTACAAGATATGTAGTTACTGTGGTAAAAAGGACACATGGAAAGCAAGACCAAGAACGGAAAACATCTTGCTCACAAAAAGCTCAGCTATTTATATTGAAAAAAAATATTCATTTCTAGTGTGCTGAATTGACAGTTATCATCTGATCTTAATTTGGTTCAGTCCTCTTTTGATCAAAAGGTTAGGGAATTCCTAAGGTTTTGAGGCATATAAAAATGGTGAGCTCTCCATATCTGTAATCATATACTGCAGGGGAAACTGAAAGGTTAATTTTTCCAGATTGCCTAGTAACAATTTTTGTTATTTTTTAGGTATTAATTTCCTGAGTTTCAGTTTAAACCAATCAATCTCTTTATTGTATGCACATAGATAGTGTAATCAGGGTCAACTATAGCCATGCTTAAGCTAAATGTTGTATGCAAAAACATACTGCTTGGAAAGAGCAATTACTTTGTTGCCATTTATGTTCTTTCAGACACCCAGGGGACATCAGAAACCTTTAGATGAAAAGGCAGCTAAGCAGATAATTTTGAAGACTCAAATGCAGTGATGGACAGCCTAAGCTAATGAGTGGCCCATATATGTGGCCTTTGTTCATTTCAGTGGGCTGCAAGATTGTTTGACTCACTGTACTTGCATACCTAGAATTTGCGGAGAATGCCAAGTGAACTGTAGCAGCGCTTTGATTGGATGCTGAGGAAGCACACAGCTCCCACAGTCAATGTTGTGTGCAATCAGCACGCACATCAATTCATGTGCCCTTTCATCACATGCACGTTACTTTAATTTATGATGGCTGTACGGTGTAACTCATTCAAATAGTAACAAAGTTTCCCTAGTTACCTGTTACACAAACTGCTTTTGAAATTGGGATCTTGGTTTCTCTAGAGCAATTACATTCAATCATCATAACATTATGGAGTAGTGGCTAAGGGCTCAAAAGTCCTGGATGTACAAATATCACTTTTACAAGTTATCATAGTTTCCATAGGGGTAAAGTTCCCATCTCTCCATCCTTGCACAATTAAAAATTTTCATACCTCTATGTTATCCAGTCCATATTGTTCCACTGCCTTTTCTTCTGACAGTCCTACACAACCGTATTCCAGAGGAGTGAAAACTGTAGTGGGTACCTAACATCATAAAATAACCCCAAATGTTACTGTTGTCTACAAAAATAGACAGTTTGATATGGGTACTTTTGAAGTAATGTGAAGAGTTTCAGTGCACCGTTCTGAAAAGCTGTCCCCATGTTACAAAAACATTTTTCTCATCTATTTAGTAACTTGTCAGGTTTTGTTTTCACCCGTTATAAATAATACTAAAGAAAAAAGTTAACAACTCACATTGTCATAATCCATCAGTTCTGAAGAATGGCCAAAGAGACGTTGAGCCAGCAGCTTTCCTGCAGCAATTGCCGTAGGTGTCAGTTCAGGGCGCCCCTGAAAAGGGATTAAAAAAAGTTTGCTTCATCCAGAAGATATGATTTTCCCCAGTGATGGCAGCCAGAGAGGTGCAAGAGTTTCGGATCCCAACACAGCAAAACATAACAGCAAGTACCCAATGATTTGTCCCATTTCAGATAAGAAGCCGAGTTAGAACTTGTGGTAGAAATGTAGCCATGTTAGTCTGGTGCAGCTGAAACAAAAAACAGGACTGTGTAGCACTTTAAAGACTAACAAGATGGCTTAATAGGTGATGAGCTTTCATGGGCCAGACCCACTTCCTCAGATCAAATAGTGGAAGAAAATTGTCACAACCAAATATACCAAAGGTTACAAATAAAACAATGAACACATATGAACAATGAACACACATGAAAAGGACAAATCAAATTTCAGAATAGAAGAGGGATGGAGGGGGGGAGGGAAGGGGCGAAGGTAAATGTCTGTGAGCTAATGATATTAGAGATGATAATTGGGGAAGCTATCTTTGTAATGGGTAAGATAATTAGCGTCTTTATTCAAATTTGAGTGTAAAGTGTCAAATTTAAGCATGAATGACAGTTCAGAGGATTCTCTTCGAAGTGATGTCTTAAAAGGTCTTTGAAGCAGGATGCAGGTAATCAAGTCATTGAGACAATGTCCTTTCTGGTTGAAATTGCAAGAAACTGTTTTTTGCCATTTCAACCAGAAAGGACATTGTCTCAATGACTTGATTACCTGCATCCTGCTTCAAAGACCTTTTAAGACATCACTTTGAAGAGAATCCTCTGAACTGTCATTCATGCTTAAATTCGACACTTTACACTCAAATTTGAATAAAGACGCTAATTATCTTACCCATTACAAAGATAGCTTCCCCAATTATCACCTCTAATATCATTAGCTCACAGACATTTACCTTCCCCTCTTTCCCCCATCCCCTTTCTGTTCTGAAATTTGATTTGTCCTTTTCATGTGTGTTCATTTTTTTATTTGTATCCTTTGGCATATATGGTTGTGACAATTTTCTTCCACTATTTGATCTGAGGAAGTGGGTCTGGCCCATGAAAGCTCATCACCTATTAAACCATCTTGTTAGTCTTTAAAGTGCTTCACAGTCCTGTTTTTTGAGTTAGAACTTGTGAGCTAACAAGTCCTAACAACCGATGCTCCTTCTAATCTTTTCCATCAATGTATGGAATAAATTTTTTATGTGCACTGATGCATGTATGTGATCCTCAGTAGGAACAAAAACCTAGCTGTGGGCACTCTGCTTATCAGCTGAACGGTATGTGAATTTCTCCACAGTAGTCACACAAATGCGCAGCTAATGGTGAACAGTGCTAACACACATTTAAGTTCTTGTCAAGACAAGCCCCACGAGTCCATCCAAGGTTAAAGAATCCACACAGGGAAAGGAACAGAGACAGGGAAAAGTTTGCCTCGAGTGTGAAAGAGATCAGGAAATGGGGAAGAAATGATGCGGGGAACTCAACAGCATTAGTTGGAAGGTATTTTGTGACGATGTTTTATAAAGGGCCCTGGCATTTTGGTGGATTTAGGTTCTGTCATATTTCTCAAATTCACAAAGACATTAAGTGGCTGCCTCAATACTTTTGCAATCTAAGAGTTTCCTGGCATTCACAACTAACCACCACCATAGGAACTGAATTCAATAAATATCAGAAACAAGATTTCCCTTTCCACTTGCTCAAGCTTTTCAAACTTATATTTACTACTGTAAAACCTTTGATTAATTCCCTCCTCTCAGCTTATACGGAAGATTTAAATGGGTATGTAAGTACCCCCTGTATATATCAGTAGCTGTGAATGACTTCTGTACACATGGGCATATCAGCTGAACTCCAAATCTTTTTGTAGTTTTTCATGGCTTTTATTGTCTCCTATACCATCCATTGTACCTTCTTTATTAACATAGCAAAACCAAGTGCACTCACTGAGTTGTAATGCAGTTACAGACTTGCATATCAAAAGTTAAATCCAAACAATTTAGTATTGTAAGTGCTTATGTGTACCTGAGGCACATGCTTTATACGTTAATGAAGACTGGCCTATTTTTCTCCACAAACCATGACAAATCATGCAACTGCAAACCCGTGCTCTTTTTTCCAAGATCCATCAAATAATTGCTTTTCAAACATAGCATTTTCCCTTCCAAGATCTGTAAATGTCATTTACCAGATGAAGTTTGCCATTTGTTTTTTCTTACACACATTTGCCTGAAAAATGTCTGCCAATCATTTCTGTAGCAGGAAATACAGATGTTGTTTTGGCATTCCAGAAATGAATAGAAGATTGGAACGAGAGATAAAATTGTGAAAGCACTGCCATGCATTCCACAAAACCCAACTAATTACTAAAACATCCATGCAGATAAGGTACAATTTCTCATAAAACAACAGCTTTAAGACCTTCCCTGCTAAATTTTTGAAGTAAATACTCATTTTGCAGCCATGTGTACAACTATCAAATTGATTAACATTGATTTGAGTTGTTCGTAAGAATCCTTGCAGTATATTATACATTTAAAAAGCTTTGAAGTGCTGTGTATTTGTTCTAACTTGACTCATTTTGTGGGTCTTATTTCTATTCAGGACATTCTATCAAAGCAACATACTGTACCTTCACCCTGTTTCAACTGCTATAACACCTTTTAAAAAGGTGGATTTACAGTGACTCCTCCTATATATGTTAAACATCATTAAAAAAACATGTATCTGTTGCATAGGGGTGGGCAATAATTTTTGAAGGGTGGCCACTTCATAAATTTCTGAAGTGTCTCTGGGCTGCCCTGGAAGGGGCAGCGCCTTGGGTGGAAGAGGCGGGGACAGGACCCTTCCTATCTTCCCCGCCCACAGATCCTGATTGGTCTGGGGAGCACTAAGTCATAGCTTCCTGCCCCCTGTTGTGGCTTAGAAAGAATTGCCAGCTGTTTTGAACTGCTAGGGGTTCCCTCTAAGCACTGCACAACCCTAGTGATGGGAGAAGACTTCACATGCTCCCCAGGCCAATCAGGGTTGAGAGCAGGAGAATGCGTAACTTTGCCCTCAGACCATCTGCAAGGGGCACATGGCACTTAGAGTGAACTGCCAGCTGTTTAGAATAGCTGGAGGTTCCCTCTGGTGCTGCGAGCACCTGGTAGGAGAAGGAGACTTCGTGTGCTCCCCAGTTCCCAGGTCTCATTGGCCTGGGGCTGGGGGAGCAGCAGGGTGGCTGCGGGCCAGATCAGCAGACTTGGCAGACCACGGAGACTCACTTGTCCACCCCTGCTGTAGCATGCTTCTTCAGTAAGAATTATATTGAAGAAAGGATTTTAGCAAACATAAAATTTATACCAAATCTGTATATACGCAAAACCATAACATATATTTGCAAGCTCAGACATAAAATCTACTGCCTCAACACTTTCATGATTGTTGATAGTGAAGAAACTAATGAGATATCATTTGTCAGTTAAAAAACAAACAAACAAAACCACCATTCACTGAAAGGATTTTGAGACCTTTATAAGAGTACTGGATGAACCCCTGGGAAGTTCATACAAGTTAATAACTTGGGCGAATTTAGGGTCTAATTTTGCAAATGATCATAACCATGCATACACAATTCTACCTTTATACCAGCCAAGTATGTATCTTAAAAGTAACAATGGTCCTTCTCAATAGGTGAGTGGGATTAAACTTGAGTGTAAACCACTCCACTGAACTCCTAATATTTAGTGGCAAATTAGTGTCTATGCAACATGAGTTTGGGAAATTGGGGCAGAGAATGATTTTTATGAGGTAATAGCAGTCATGCATCTCAAAGGACTCTTAATGCAGGTCACAAACTATACACTTACAGTGGCACTGAAAAGCTGTTTACTATGTGTAAGGGGAACAGACAAGTGGAAAACCAGTATGCAAGATCCTGTACAAAAGCTGATGGAGGAGTAGTATTGGCCAAGAACCTTTTGGCAATCCCTACTTCTACAGGCAAGATGGGGAGGGGAGAAAGTCACTGATGTCCATCTATAGCAGGGATGGGCAATAATTTTTGACAGGGGGCTACTCCAAGATTTTGGAAAGTGGTCAAGGGCCGCACTCTTCTTTGATATTCATGAAGATATTAATGAAGGTCTCGGATGGAGGTTGGGTATAGAAGGGAGCTTGGGGTAAGGGACTGAGGTACAGGAGAGAAAGTGGAGTCTGAGAGGGAGTTTGGGTGAAGGAGGCAATTGTGACCTAGGGCAGGAGACTGGGTTGCAGGGTTTGGTTTATAACCTAGGGGAGGTGACAAGATGCAGGAGTTTGGTTTGTAACCTAGAGTAAAAGGGGACAGTGATCTGGGCAGGGAATTTGGATGCCAGCTCTGGGTATGGGTGAAGGAGGGGAGTAGGGGATTTGTGTATGTTGGGAGGAGGGGGCAGAGGGCTGAAGAAGAGAGGGGCTGGTGTGCCAGAGGCAGTCTCTGGCCAGACTTACCAGCCAATAGCCCAATCAGCCTGCCTGCAGAGCTAAAAGTTTGAAGAGCTAGAAAAGCTTCTCGACCAGCCTGCCTACCGCACACCCGCACAGGTTGCCTGGCAATATGCTTGTGTGATTAACAGAGCCGGAAGGAAGGGAGCTAGTGCTTTGTGGCTGCTTGTTATCCAAACAACCAGCTCCCATTGCCAGTTTCTGGCCAGAGGCCAGACAATGGAATTATGCTGGGGAAGGATGTTCCGCCTGAAGCCTTTCCTCACCTTACAATTTTTTTAAAAAGAGAAACAGCCCCACAGACACTTTTCTGAGCAGTGTGCAGAGCTGTGGGAGAAGCAGGTGGCTTGATGGGCCCAATTTGGCCTATGGGCTGTATTTTGCCCAGGCGTGACCTATACCAAGAAGGAAGACAGTAGAACTTTTTTCTTCTTTTTAAAAGGTCTTATCCAAAGGATATGGACACACTAACATACATGGTTCTATCTTAATACATATACGCTGAAGGGCCAAACAAGACCTGCTATGATGTGTACCAAC